TTTTTTTTTTTTTTTTTTTTTTTTTTGCATTTTTGGAAGAAAAAAAAGAAAAAAAAATCAACAGAACAGAACGGATATCTTTCTTGTTAATTTTTTTTTCTTTTGCTTTGTTTTGTTCTCACATCCTCTTTAAGGTCTCAGCCCCCCTTTTCCCCTTACGAGCGTTACGGGCGTTTTGAAGCGTTCATTCATACCCGGGTCATCTTGTACATAACTAATACAGATCTTAGTCCTTGAGATATTAGTCCTTTCATTTGACTGTCTTCTGGAAAATATATAGTACGGAGTACTACTTAGTCACCCAAGCCACATCTGTGATCTGTTCTACCGTGGTAGCTCAGCCTCCACCAAACGGCGATACTCTCTAAGCCTAAGCTGCTATCCTCGTCCAAGGGGGGATGGTGCACTGCCACATTCCAAGTGACGTAGAATTGCTGGTAGTCGGACGAATATCTAGTACGGGGGATAGGAATAGATTTGAGTTGAATTGATATCTAGCTAGGTACTAACCAGTATAGTTTATACGAGATACTTCATGGGAGGTATCAATGCAGACGAAGTAAAGCTGTGAAAGCGTATAATTATGTGCTCAATGGGGTGATGAATGTGTTCGCGAGATGGCGCATGACCCCATGACTCGCATCGCTGTCTCAGCCCCGCGCTATACAGCGTCAACCTCGCCAAATGCAGGGCGCCTTAGGGAAGTAGGTAGTACATACCACACACATAAAGGAGACGTAAAGTAGGAATGGTCCTGATAGTTAGCCATATGTCCCCATCATATTGCTTTAGTCTGACCATGTCCGAGGTTCCCCAGACCCCCAAGTCTCGACCACGATTTAGTGGAAGCGAGTCCCTAGGTGGCTCTTCCAGTCGAGAGGGCTCTCCTGCTCCCTCTCCGGGAAGTGTCTTCAGTCTGTCGGATTCAATCGTCACCGATATCACCACAGACTATGGCTGGGAGACCCCGGTCAGAGATCCAGAATCCAAGACAAAAACCGACAGCCTCGCAGAGAGAGAGAAAGATGAGGACGTCTCATCCCCCATCGTGGGAGAAAAGAAGCCCCGCCGACTCCGAACAGCTTCAGGATCGGAGGACAATCCTTTGGTGCTGAGCAAGCGAAAGAAGGACGATGGAGTTTCTTCTGTCACCGACAAAGAGGGTTTCTCCCGCCAATTGCCGGAGGGACTTGACCTACTTTCCATCTATGACAAGTCGATGGGAAGAAAGCGATTGCGGCAGACGAGGCTCGAGCACTGGATAGCCGGGAGTGCCAATGACATCAGCACCGATTTTGCAGGCGTCGGAACAAGGATCCTGAGGCCTAGAGCAAGGAGCCATAGTGCCGCAAAGCAAAAGGCCTGGCCTGACCCGATTCCTAGGACACCGGAGCAGGTCCCTGACACAAACTATCCCGTTCCGACAATTGAAATCACCGAAGCCGAGAGCAGCGAAGAGGACTCGCAAATTCCATTCTCGTTGGGTCTACTCGAAACCCTCCCTTCAGCGGATTGCATAAGGAAAGCGCATCGAGAGTCGCTGTGCAAAATCCTGCCATTCGAGATTCAGCAGCATTTGACGGAAGATAGCTCACATTGCCCAGCCTGGACACGCAGCCGTCAGCGATGCAAGAGAACACGTCAAGTGGATGGAAAGCACATTGTGCAGTCACTACAGAGCTTGAAGACATTGAATCCCAGCGAGATCTTCCACTGCATCGATAAAATTGTGGAAGCAACAGTGTGCCCTCACTCACACAAAAAAATCGCGAAAAGAGAGCTGCAAAGCTGGGAGGAAGACTTTAAGAATCTCTCCCGGATCCGAGACCTCAACCATATCTTTCGACCGGAAGATGACCGCGTATTAGCTCTTGTCAACTGGCTTTTCCACCTCAGCAAGGGGAGCGTATCCCAACTTCAAAACAAAAGCTTCACTCCATCAAAGCCGGGGAAGGACGATTCAAGCAAGGTCCCTCCGGTACTCAATTTGATTCAAGAATTCAAGCCCTATGCCACCAAGAAATTGACAGGGTCTGTGTCGGAGGAGCTCGCAGCGCTTCTTACAAAGCCCTTGTCGACGAGGGAGATCAAAGAGCAAGGCTCGATGTATATCTTCTGGCAGCCCGGAAATTTCGGACACCTAAAGATCGGCAAGTCCGGCAACGTGCACCGCCGTATGAGAGAGTGGATTTCGCAATGCAAGAAGCCGATTGAAGTGTTTTTCCCGAAGCTGTCGGAAGACGGCAACTCGGACGCAGAGGAGGTGCAACCCGTGCAGCACATCTATCGCGTGGAGGCTCTGGTGCAAATGGAACTAAGGTACTGCCGACGAACCGAGGCGAGATGTCCTGGCTGTTTCAAAGCCCACGTGGAATGGTTTGAGATTCCACGAGACATCGCAGTGGAGGTGATAAGCAAATGGATGGCTTGGATGCGGACTTGCCCCTACGAGAGGCGGTTGATACAGGTCGAAGAGGGAGAGGAAGAAGAGCAATGGGTGCTCAAACAGCAAGAAGAACAGCGGGTGAGCGAGTTGTCTCAGCCACATCGATCAGTTGCGGTATCTGGCCCTGCCATTGCTCCTATTACTCCTGGTGTTCCTGGTGCTCCTCCCTCTCGACTTTCGCTTCCCAGCTGGGAGAGAGACAGCAGTCGGCGACTCAGGAGGAAATCAATGTAGCAAGATGTTAAGTCCAGCTATCTCTGGTGAACAGTTCGTAGCAATCAGCGAGTAGAAGACCTCAACGATGATGGATTGTTGCCTTGACTGGATGCAGTAGGAAGGTAGTAGCAGGTAGCAGGGAGTTACATGGAAGAAGTAGTAGATTACATAAGGTGATAGAAGATATATGGTAAAGTTACTGTAACAGGACACGGCAGAGTCCTCCGCTGTGACACCCGCAGCCAATCAACGGCTCCTCTTTCGGAGCGTGTCTCGATCGAATGGCAACGGACGCTTCCAATTCCGGCGCCGTGACGCCGACAGAACATTCAAGCCTGAGGCATTCTGTTTCTCTCTGTCCTACCTCATGGCAGTGTCAGTTCACTCGTAGTACGGAGTATTCTTACATGCTGAGTGCTGAGAGGCTGTGGAACTTGTAGAATCCAAGATGTGGGACATTTCTCCGTAGACTACTATAGTTATAATTATAGTTATAATTATAGTTATAATTATAGTTATAATTATAGTTATACCTCATACTCTAACACCGTCTCAATCAATCCATGGCTGTCTTCGTCACTGCGTCGTGGCCCCGGCTCCACTCGCCGTTTCGTGATCCGCCGGTGGCTCCAAGTCTGGCCCGGACAAAAGCTTGGTGGAATTCTGTTGACGAACTGTCGTCGTCGCCCGCTCCTTTGCGAATCACCCTGTTCTTGACTTGTCACTCCTTAAAACACCTATTATTGCACATATCTGGCCTTTGTATTTATTTATCGTTTATTATTTGTTATTTTACCTTTTTGTTTTACCTGGTTGTCGCTTGTACAGTGTCCCGCCTTGTCTCTCTTGCTGCCGAACACCCCCCTGAGGTTACCCGGTCCTACAAAGACTGTGTCTAGCCTATATGTACAACTCAATGCTGGCGATTATTGTTTAATTTAGCAGGTATTTCGATCTCCTGACAAGCTATATTTTTATGCAATGATTTTAACACGCATGGGAAGAAAGTCTTGACATCAACATCGATGGTTACTCCACGGCGGCGAGCGATCCTCCTTCTCGGCTTCGTCTGTATCTGGCCATTGTTTTTGACGGTCCGGACTCTATCGAATAAATGGCGGGATCTCTCCCAGCTAGCGGGCATGGGCGACCTGGTCGAAACCGGCAGCACAAAACCACAACTTGTTCTTTTGAACAACAGCGCCCTGCCCAGTGCGGAGAAGAAAACAGGCAGCAACAAGCTCTATGCCCCTCGCCCAGCGTACCACCCGGGCGTGCCTAAGCCGCCCGGGTCGAACTATTCCAAGATCCTCGTCGCGCCACGGATGACGGAGGAGGACACCTCATGGATTGCGAAGGAGCTTCCAGACTGGGAATCGGCCATCTACGTCGCCGACGACCCCACGGCCGAGCTCCACCCGCCCATGAACAAAGGCCACGAGGTGATGGTGTACCTGTCGTACATCATCGAGAACTACGACCAGTTGCCGGATATCATCGCTTTTATGCATTCGCACCAGTTTGCCTGGCACAACGAGGAGATCTTTGAGACCGACGCCGCTCAGATGCTGCGGCGCCTCAACCCGGCGCGCGTCATCCGCGAGGGGTACATGAACCTGCGCTGCGTCTGGGCGCCCGGCTGCCCGAGCTGGATGCACCCGGGCACCCTCAAGGAGGATCGCACCAAGCAGGAGGAAACCATGCTCGCCCGGTCGTGGGGGGAGATCTTCCCGGAGGAGCCCATTCCGGACGTGCTGGCGCAGCCCTGCTGCGCGCAGTTTGCCGTCTCGCGGGAGCGCATTCTCTCGATCCCGCGCTCGCGCTTTATCTTCTGGCGCGACTGGATGCTACGCACCGAGCTCAGCGACTACATCTCCGGCCGTATCTGGGAGTATCTGTGGCATGTCATCTTCACGGGCGAAAACGTCGTCTGCCCCCAGGAGCACGTCTGCTACTGCGACGGCTACGGCCTCTGCTTCGGCGGCGAGGACACCTACAACACCTTCCAAAAAGCCCGCAATGAAAAGACCAAGCTGGAGGACCAGCTCACCCATTGGCGGGACCGCGCCCGCCTCCTCGAATCCACCCGCGGGCGCGGCCGTCTCAGCGAATCGAGCCGCCTGCATGTCCCGGATCCGGGCGTCGATATCGACTTCCAGAACAAGATCGAGGAGAAGCGCCGCATCATCGCCGAGATGCTCGCCGACGCTGAGGCCCGCGGCGCCAACCCAGAACTCAGAGCCGCTGAGTTGGGGTTTCAATGGAACGAGAACGGGACGATCGGCCTGCCATGATCTCTCCCCTTCTCTGCCTCCTTGTCTATTTTTTGGCATTTTTGGTTATTTTCTTCCTATAGAAAGGCGTTGGTTGGGGTTAGCCCGGGACATATCTTGTACATCTGATTTTCTTTTGGGGGGGAGATTGGAATATATTTGGCTTCGTCGGTGTATATAGTGTGGCGACATAAATGAAGCATTTTCATGTGGTATGACAATTAGTCTGAATCAATATTATATAGATTGCCTATAGCTAATGATTTCTTCACTCACTATTCAGATCCTATTGAATACTTTTCTCTATATTGACCTCCCTGTCACTACTGGAGTAGAATTACTACGTAGTGGCCCAGGCCATTTAGTAACGACGGTTAGTGAAGGTTTTTTGAGGTTTTAAAACAGTTATGATTAGTTTTAAAACTAGTATTAAATTATTATATAGTTATTAATTATTTTTAACTTAATAACTATTATTAATAATAGATAATAATTAAATTATTATTTAAATATAATACTAGCTCTATTTTAAATAAAAGAAAAATTATTACTTTATAATATAATAATTATTTATTAATTATTTATTAATTATTTATTAG